AATGAAGCGGCTGGCAGTGGCGGTTGCTCCAAATCCGACGTCGACACGAAGGACACGTGTAAAACTATCGTTTTCTGTTCACTTTCTAATGCGAATCCAATCTACAGCCTCTACAGCGAATAGTGCACGAAGGTAGGCATTGGCGCGAAAGACACGAAGGCCAGGTTTGAACTTACGGTTTTCGTTATTTCCCTGCTAGGAGTTCTAGTAGGCCTGATACGAAAGAAGAATACACGAAGGTGAGGTTTGTAGCGACACGAAGACCATGTGCACCCCTACTACTACTACTACTACTACTACTACTACTACTACTACTACTACTACTGCTACTACTACTACTACTACTACTACTACTACGACTACGACGACTACTACTACTACTACTACTACTACTACTACGACTACTACGACTACTGCAACTATTACTACTGGTCCTGCTACTACAGCTGCAACTACAACAACAACTACTATCACTACTGCTGCTACTACTACTACTACTACTACTACTACTACTGGTCAGACTATTGCTTCGAATTCTTCTACTACTATTACTGCTACTACCACTACTACTACTACTACTACTACTACTACTACTACTACTACTACTACTACTGCTACTACTACTACTACAGCTGCAACAACAACAACAACAACTACTATCACTACTGCTGCTACTACTACTACTATTACTACTACTACTACTGGTAAGACTATTGCTTCGAATTCTTCTACTACTATTACTGCTACTACCACTACTACTACTACTACTACGACTACTACTACTACTACTACTACTACTGCTACTACTACTACTACTACTACTACTACTACTACTACTACTACTACTACAAGTACTACTGCTACGACTACGACTACGACTACTACTACTACTACTACTACTACTACTACTACTTTTTCTACAACTAGTACTCTTAGTGCGACTAGTACTTCTACTACGGTCAGTACTACCACTACTACTACTACTACTACTACTACTACTACTACTACTACTGCTGCTACTACTACTACTACTACTACTACTACTTCAACTACTCCTACACATATACTGTTACTACGATTATTACGACTACTACTTCTACCACTGCTGCCAGTACTAATACCACTCATCAAACTTGAACTGCTGCGAGAGCTACTACTGGACTACTATACTGGGCTACTTGAACTACTGGGCTACTTCTACAACTTGCACTCAGACTTGTACTGCTGCTATCATCACTACTACTACGACTATTACTACTACTACTACTACTACTACTACTACTACTACTACTACTACGACTACTACTACTACTACTACTACTACCACTACTACTACTACTACTACTACGAGTACTACGACCACTACTACCACTATTACGAGTACTACTACGACGACTACTACTACCACTGCTATTACTACTACTACTTCTACGCCTACTGCTGCTACTACGACGACTACTACTACTACTACGACTAGTGCTACTACTACGACGACTACTACTAGTACTACACCACTACTCCTACTACTACTACTACGGCTCGTACTACCTCTCTTACTACTACTGTTACTACTACTACTACTACTACTACTACTACTACTACTACTACTACTACTACTACTACTACTACTACTACTACCTCTACTACCACTACTACCACTACCACAACCACTACTACTACTACTACTACTACTACTACTACAACTACTACTACTACTACTACTACCACCACTACTACTACTACTACTACTACTACTACTACTACTACTCCTACTACTACTACTACTACTACTATACTACTACTACCCGTGCTACTACGACGGGACAGTGAGACAGTGATGTGGGACCAGTGGGTGCGGGCACTGGTGTGTGCTCGCACCCGCTGGTGGGGACAGTGTGCGGGCAGTGGTGGGTGCTCCCAGCGCTACCATCTATCATGTATCATCATCATCATCATCAGCATCATCATCATCATCATCATCATCATCATCATCATCATCATCATCATCATCATCATTATCATCATCATCACCATCACCATCACCATCACCATCACCATCATCATCATCCTCCTCATCATCAACATCATCACTATCATCGTCGTCGTTGTCATTGTCATCGTCATACTCCTTCTTGCCCCCGCATCCGCCCTCGTCATTGTCCGCGCCGTCGCCCTCGCCCCGTCCGCCTGGACAAGCGCGGCTGCGGCCCCCATGCCCATGTTGGTGGCGATCCTGTCCTCGGGGGGGTGCGGGCCCAGAAGAACCAAACAATATGGCACCAGGGAGAAGCAGGCCAGACACGCCTTGCCAAGCAGCAGCGTTGCAGAGGAGGGCGACTACGAGGCGGGGATGTATACATGTCCACCGTCTGGGAACCGCCCTGGGACCCCACGGGGCAGTGGCATGGATAATCATATCGGGGACCCCTAGGGCCCAAATGTGTCCATATCCACCGCCTGCCGAGGTCCCCGAAGATCGATCCCCCCAGCATTTGTTATTTTGGACGCCCGAAATGGGTACGGAAAGAATGGGTACAATGCCCAACAGCAAATGTTGTCCCAAACCAACAGCGGCCGCTGTTGGGCAGGCGGCCTTCTTTCTCGAATGGACACAGGCCGCGGCGGCGCGGACAGCGGATCCTGTTCGAAATGAACAGGAATTGCTGTTGGGCACTGTACCCATTCTTTCCGTACCCATTTCGGGCGTCCAGAGTTATGGGTCAATCCCCGCCCGGGGACGGGGAACACCGAAAGCACCACACCAGATAAATGTGCTTCGGCCCGTTCAGGGGGAAACCTCCAGCCAAAGACACTCGACCGAGGATTCACGCCAAAGCCGTCCTGTCCGCACCAGCAACGCAAATGCGGATTCGGTTTCACGTACGGGCGGCCTTTGCCTAGGGTGATCTTTGGTGCGCTGATGTTTTCTGGTGTGACGCGCCCCCCACAAGCAGCGCCCCTGGGCTGAGGGGGATCGCTGGGGGGAGATCAGCTCAGGGGGGGGAACATCGAGGTGGAATCGGCGATGCGTCGCCGATACATCCGCAGCGAGCCTTCGATAGCGAATCTAACGAGCCCCTACCGGCGATCAACGCACGATTGAAGATCGACGCGCCCCCTTGGCTATCGGTTCATAACTAGGCGGCGAACGAGGGGGGGAAGTGAAAAGGGGCGGGCCGTCTCAGAAGGCTCGGAAGTCCCCGGGCATTCCTGAGAAGTTTTCCAAGGACACAAAAAACTTCTTAGAAGGCGCGGGGGCTTCTGAGAAGTCCTGCCGCCTTCTGAGCAGGCCTTCTGCTTCTCATTTCCCCCGCTCGCACGCCGCCGAACAATTCGGCTCTCTGGCGATGGCCTCTCGTGACGGCCCTGGCAGCCCTGGAACGCCCTCTGAGAGGCGCAGCCACTTGAGAGCACCCCGAGCATTCGTTTGGGTGCTTCTTGTTGTTTATGATAATATAAACTGAATCTTCCTTCCTATTTTAATATTGACCGTAAATAATAATACTTAATACAGATAAATGAACCTTTGCCAAGGCTGGAAGACCTGCCGAGAACCGACGCGCACGTCCGAAGACCTCGAGTCTCGATTCCGAGAACGTCGCCCCGCCCCCCCGGCTGGGCGCCGTCGCGGGCGATCTGGACGGGCGCCCCACAGGCCCCCAGAGGTGGTCCAGCACCACGGGCGGGCCGCCCCGGCGAGACGGCGCCCTGGTGAGTCGCCAAAGGGTGAGGAAGAGGGATCGTCGAGTCCACCATATGATTTTGTGGCAGGGCCCTTGCGGATGCCACGGTCGGGGGTCGGCCAGGTCGGGCCTGACGCGCAAGCGGCGCTCCAGCAGCTGCAGTTCACTTCCTCTTCCTGCCCTCGTTGTACTGCTTCGCGAACGCCGGGCTCCTAGGCATGAGGCCCTTCTCGATCCGCACCAGGTGATGAAGATGATGATGATGGTGGTGATGATGACGGTGTGATGATGATGATGATTACGATGATGATGAGGAAGAGGAAGAGGAGGGGGAGTATGGTTATGATACTTACTATCATTGTTCGTTTTTATTATAATGCTGATACATACGGTGATGGTGGTGACGATGATGCTGATGATAATGATGGTGTCTATCCTCAACATAGCCGTCGACATCATTACCATCACCATCAACATCCACATCATCACCATCCTCCTCCTACTGCCACACCTCGTTACAATCATCAACATCGCATGTACAGTCATCATCCTCATCAACATCACCATCATCGCCATCGTCATCGTCATCGTCATCGTCATCCCCGTCATCATCCTTACCATCCTCCTCATTATCATCGCGTCACCATCACCATCACCATCACCATCACCACCACCACCACCACCACCACCACCACCACCACCACCACCACCACCACCACCACCATCATCATCATCATCATCATCATCATCATCATCATCATCATCATCATCATCATCATCATCATCATCATCATCATCATCATCATCATCATCATCATCATCATCCTCGTCATCACCACCACCACTACTATCACCAACATCACCGTCGTCATCATCACCAGCATCGTCATCATCGTCATCACACCATTTTGCACCGGCCCATCGGAGGAAACACATCCCGCGAAGGGCGCGCGATCAAGGGAAGCGGAGGCTGCACCAATCGTGGGCGGAACGCGTCCGGGAAGAAATGGGGCCAGCGAGGAGGATGCGGAGGGCCCACGAGGGGGTAGCGCGAGGGGGTTGGGCTTCTGATGAGATGGGGGAATTCTTAGAAGGCGGGGGCCTTCCACGACGACCCTCCGCCCTCTCAGAAGGCCGCCCCCCTCGCGCAACCCCGTTCTGGGGCGCCGCCGAGATGTGGATGGGGGATTCCGCGGTGGGTCTTCTGCATAGCAGGCTCCCAGGAGACAGCATCACGGAGAGAACTGCAGGGCTGTTCTGCGACTCCTGGCCCCTGGCTTCTGGCCCCGTGCAACGGCCGCGGCCTCGCCCAGTTGACGCGGTGCGCGCTGGGATCTCTCCTCTTCAGGCATGCAGCAGCAGAAAGCGAAAAGACCACCCATTATCGGGAGCGGCCAAGAGGGGGGCGTCCAAGAGGGGGGGGTGCAAGTCATGCCCGGCGGCACGTGCGCGGCCCAGGGGAGGGGGGCCAGGGACGCAATGAAATAAGAAGGGGCGCCACGAAATCTGGGGAGGTATCGTAGCCCATGCCATTGATATCCCCCCCTAGTCATCACCCCCCCCATCTGAAGGGGCCCTGGGACACACAAATAAATACACACAAATAACAGGACTCACCATGTTTTCCCATATTTTTGGAGTTTTCGTCTTCCCCCCATCTCCGATATTTTCCAAGATTTTCTGGGGAGTCGACGATTGACTGTGTCTGTGTGGTTCTTTCCCTCCTGAATGAAATCTGGGGAAATCTCATGGCCCATGCCATGATATCCACCCCCCCACACTAGTCATCCCCCCCCCCCCCCTCTTCGCCGCCCCCGACGAGACCATACCCCGCCCGTGCATGAAAGGCATGACAGAACGGTGTCCTCGAGAAAAAACGTCCTGAACAATTGTCTTTGTTTCTGGGCCCCTGGGCTCCACGGACCGTCAACAGAACGGCTCAGGGTCAAGAACCGGTCATAGGGAGAGCGTGCCTTCGTGGTCGGCAGAAGCTTCGCGAATCGGTGCCAAACCTCATTCGCTGGAGCGCAGAGTGCGCCAGGAGCGGCGCCAGAGACGCCGCCAAAACGACCCAGCGCCGATCAAATCGGCTACACGCAAGAGTGACCCTGGGTAAGAGTGACCTTTGGTGCGCGGCTTTTTTTGGGGGCCGCGGGGGGGCCAAGCGCAAGCGCGCAAGACGCCACTGCCGCCTCGCGTTCGGCGATCGGGGGGCCCCATTGGGCCCGCACCAGAGGTCGCTCCGGCGAAAGGCCACTCCTGCGCCTCGTCGATCAGAGAACCCCGCGCGAACCTCCGAAGATGCACGGCCCCCGTGCTGCCACGAGGAGCGCTCCCTACCGGAGATAGAGCGGGTGACTCCTGGCCACGGCGAGCCCCAGCTTCGAGCAGGCTCTCCGGCCCAGCTCCCGAGGGACGGCCCGAAGACCAGAGCACCTCTTTTGGGGCCTCTTTTGGGGCCTCTTGGGGGCCTCTTGGGGGCCTCGTGGGGGCCTCGTGGGGGCCTCGTGGGGGCCTCCTGGAGGCCTCCTGGAGGCCTCTTGGTCGGGCGTTGGCAGAAATGGGTTTAATGGGACCTGGTTTAGTGCTGGGTGCTGGGGGACGCCCCCCCTCGCCCCGTCCCACTGACCAGAACTGCCGTCGCCCGAAAAAAAACACCATCTGCGGCAGACCTGGTTGAGTGATTCTGGCCAACGTAGGGGCTCCAGGGCCCTACCACTACCACTAAACGGGTCCCCTTACCTGGGGTCCTGGCTATACCCGATCCTGAATCCAAGGTGGTCCAAAATTTCAGCGTCCCGAGTGTAGATCTGCGCGGCGTCCCAGGACATGCTGCGATACGATGTTTTTTGCACTCTGCGGCCCCGGGGGTCCCGACCCCATCCACAGCGGCTGGCCTTCTGTTCTGGATCCGTTCTCGATGTCCCAGGGGCCCGATGAACGGGCCCCGACGGCCGACATTCGAGGAACAGAGGCCAGGATTGAACAAAAACACATCCTCGGAGATCTGGGGATTGCTTCTTCTTCTGCCCCTTATTATTCTTCTTCCTCGTCTTCGTCTTCGTCAGAAGACTCCTTCCCTTCATTTATGCAGCTCCCATCGTATTTAAAGACACACATCCCCAAAATATGTTCGAGCACCCGGAAAAGTGTCGAAAGAGTGTCGGAACAATGTCATGTCGGACGAGTGTCTCCCAGGGCCCGACAAGTGAAAACCCTCGAGTTTCGGTATTTTTGTGGTGCTCGAAATTCTTTCTGGTGGTCAAGGCTAAAGTGGGTTGGAACATCAGAACCCCTCATGGCGAACAGAACTCTCCAGAGGGGGGCGGCGAACGCTCCCGCCGCCCGGCAGCTCGCTGTCCGCCCGCGGGCGCTCGCCGGGGGCGGTCCTGCGCCGAGAGCTCCACTTTCGCCGGTGGCTTGTCCTCCTGCCCCCCCCCCTCCTGCGGAAGGGGGGGGGCCTCCGGGCCGGATGTAAGTCGGGCGTGTCCCTCTACAGGAGGAAAACTCAAAAATAGTCTGGGGACGATTGTTCGACTACTTGTTTAATATTTCCAGCCTGCAGGGGGACAGGCCCGACCCAAGGCTGGATTGCCACGCCAGGCAGTCGGCGGCGAGCACTGGTGGGGGAAGCGAGAGGGGGCGGCGGCCTTCCCAGGAAGCGGCGGGGCTCCCCAGAGGGCGCGAGCGGCCGCGGCTGGGCGTGCCACTGCGCGCCTCGAGCGCACAACGTCAGCGGAGGCACCGACAGCGAATCCGAGTCAACATGGGCAGGAGCTGGTGTTGGTCTTCGCCCCACCCATCTCGATCCTCCAGATTGGGGGTCTCCCTGGATCGGAGGTGGACTGAACCACCCTCGACGATCCTGAGAACGACTATCAGCGCCAACGCGTGGCGGTCTGAGGAGGGCTGACACAGCCCTCAAACCCGACGCTGCGGGAAAATGCGATATCGGGAAAAATTCGGCTGGAACCCTAAACCGTTCTTCGAGCTGGTTCGATCTGTCATGGTTCCAGGGCACGGAACCGAGCGAAACCGACCAGTGTTAACGATTCCAGCGGCTGGATCTCAGGGATGTTGCGTGCGAAAGATCGGGACGGGGTGTACACACATTGGGCTAGCACACGTCCTACTCTGGCCCCACTCGCAAAGCGAGCTCTGGCAGTCGGCCGCTCGCGCCAACACAGCAGCAGCGGCGCCCACCCCCCTCCTGCGGGGGGGGGGCATCGGAGCTAGGGGCCTCCCTGAATCGGGATCGACCAATGCCAGGTTCTGCGGTTTCGTTTTCGTTTTGAAGGGTTTGGGGAACGAAAGCGGTCCCACCGATTGCCCAGAACGCCGTTTCGTGGCAACTCCGAGTTCGTGATCGGATCGGCCAATGGTGGGCTCGAAGGCGGGAACACAACGAAAACGAAGAGAAGACGAACACGGTCCACGAGATGGCAAAGAACAAGGTGCTGGTCGATCCCTGGAGGGGGTGGACAAAATGGGGCCAAGAGTCGCCGACCCATGCAATCCGCGCGGACCGCCCAAGAAATGCATGTTCGTACGCAACGTGTTGTTGTTGCTGTTGCCGTTGTTGTTGTTGTTGCTGCTGCTGCTGCTGCTGTTGTTCGTTTTGTTGTTGTTGCTGCTCTTCTTCATCGTCTTCAACTTCCACCCGGCCCCATCCTCGATAAGGGGGGGGCTCCAGAATGGCGTGATAATTGTTTCAACCCGCTCCATTCCTTGGGTCCGCCTAGATGGGTACGGCCTACAAGGCCACATTGCCCAACAGCAGATGGCGTCCACGATCGACAGCAACCGCTGTTGGGCAGGCGATCTTTTGTCCCCAACAGACAGCGCCCGCGGCGACGCCGACAGCCAGCCCCGTTCAGAATGGGCAAGAACTGGAAGCCTGGAAATTGGCACCAACACCAACACAGGGGGTTGCCTCCACAGGGGGAAGATGACCCTCGATGTCGGCGTTGGTGGTGATATTTCGGGCACCCTGGAAACCAGAATCCTACCACCATCACCGAGATCGGGATCTTCTTCCCTCGGTGGACGCACACCGCCGATATTGGTGTTGGTCTCAGCCTCTAGGCCTCCGAAAGACCTGCTGCCGATCTTCGTCCGAATCCTCTCCGTGCCCATCCCCTGGACTCCGACGCCCCCAGGGAACGCCGCACTACGAACAAAAACGCCACGACTGGGCCCCTGGAGATCCCGCCGTCCTGCGGCCCACTTGCCTCGAGGAGGCTCGGCCCGCGGCACGCATAGCCGGGCGCAGGCGCCCAGTGTGAATCAAAAGCCCGCGCAGCAACCGGTGCCAAGCGTGGCGACCCCCACGGCGAAACGCCCTCGGACCGTGGGGGCGCGGCAAGGCCCCAGCCCGCACGGGATAGAGCTTCGGGTTGTAGAACCTGCGGGCGGCCGCCCTCTCCTCCCTCCCCTCCTTCTCTCCAGACTCCCTTTTCTCACTGCCTTCTTCTCGTTGTGTCTGATCCTTATTCCCTCGATATTCCTCCTGCTCCTTCCGTTGTTTCTTATCCCCTCTCCTCCTCCTCCCCCTCTTCCTCCTCCTCCTCCTCTTCGTCCTCCTCCTCCTCCTCCTCCTCCTCCTCTTCGTCCTCCTCCTCCTCCTCCTCCTCTTCGTCCTCCTCCTCCTCTCCACACGATGTGGTCTTGTGTAAGGGGTTCCACGTCCGGCACTGCACCCATCGGCGGACAAAGAGCAATAGTCCCCGCAGCGGGAGCGAGTGGCTGAGAGGCGGGCGTCTCAGATATGGCGCGACCGCACCTGGCTTGTCGTCCGCCCGTCTCCTCCTCCATTTCAACGTTCTCCTCCCCATCCCCCCTCCGCCTCCTCCTCCTGCTGCTCCTCCTGCTGCTGCTGCTCCTCTTCCTCCTCCTCCTCCTTTTCCTGCTGCTCCTCCTCCTCCTTCTCCTCCTCGTCCTCCTCCTCCTCCTCCTCCTCCTCCTCCTCCTCCTCATCATCATCATCATCATCATCATCATCATCATCATCATCATCATCATCATCATCATCATCATCATCATCATCATCATCATCCTTATCCTCCTCCCCCTCTCCTCCTCCTCCTCCTCCTCCTCCTCCTCCTTCGTCGCCGCCTTCGCCGTCGTCGCCGTCGTCGCCGTCGTCGTCGTTTTCGTCGTCGTTGTCGTCGTCTTCGTCGTCGTTGTTGTCATCGTCGTGATCATCGGTTACGCCCGCGCAATCGGCGTCGCCGTTTCTTGGCCACCGCCGTCGCCGCCATGATCGAGTCCGTCGTCGCCACCGCGCTCGTCGAGCTCGTTGTCGCCTTCGCCGCCACTTCCGGCACCGCCGCCCCCGCCGGCCAGTTGCTCGTGTGGCCGAGCAGGTCCTAGGGCAGAGTCCCAATACGCAGCTCGCTCGGCCGTGTGCATCGCTTGGCCTCCTCCTCCTCCTCCTCCTCCTCCTCCTCCTCCTCCTCCTCGGTCCGAAGGGCTTCCCTTCGCCCCCCACTACTCTGAACGCCACGAGCACCGCGACGATGGTGTAGAGCCCAGACCCCTCTTGGCCAGCCCAGCGCTGGTCGCCCGCTGGCGCGCCGGCTCACCGGCTCAGCGGGCAAGGTCCGCGGCAAGCCGGGCCGCCCCCGCCGCCCCGCTCTCGCCCGCACGGCTGTGCAGAGTTGCCGGGCGGTGGCCCGGTGGAGCGCCACGCTGAGATCGGCGGCCCACCGCTGAGCCAGCGCGCTGGCGGCCGCCGCCGCAGAAGGGCCGTCGTCGAGGCCCTGCGGCTGGTCCCGCGCCAGCCAGCGCAGCTGCTGGAGTGCCGCCTTGTCGTGGCGGCCGCCGGTCTCCAGCGGCAGCGGCAGGAGTGGCCAATGCGCGCGGCCCGCTGGGTAGCGGCGCCGCCGTCCGCCGCGGCCGCCAAGGCGCGCGCGCCCCTGGGGGCGCTGTAGCGGACGGTCACGTCCGCGCACAGCTGGGGGCAGCCCCCCGCGCTGCGCTTCCAGGTCGAGGAGCGCCTCCTCCCGCTCCACCTGGAGCGCCGCTCCGCAGGCAGGCCGAGGCGGGGGGCGCGTCCGCCGCGCCTCGGCCCGCGCAGGCAGGGGCGGAGCAGCGCTAGTGCCATCGGTCCCAGGCGGGGTCACCATGTGCTCCGCGTCCGCCTCTGAACCGCTGTCCAAACGGAGCCGGCCGTCGGGAACCCTTTCCGCGGACACCACCTTTGAGTTAAAACTATTGCCACCCGCGAGGACACGGTCGCCGTATGGCACGGCGCATCTATGATCTCGACGCCCTGGGCCATGGCCTGCTCCTCTGGCTTCTGCTCGCCGTTGGAATCCGCGCACTCCTTTAGGCGGATGATCTTCTAATCGGACTTCGCGGTATGGTACCGCATCGACTTAGCGACGACGGCGATGCTGGCGGCCTGCGCATGACGGGCGGGCGTGCCCCTGATACGCGCTCGGAGCGTCAAGGAGGCGGAGGTCTGACACAAAGGCCGGAAGTGGCCACCGCCTGGACAAACACACAAATATCGGAGGCGGGGTTGGGGTGTAGGAGAAAACGCTCGAATCCTGGGTGCTGCCTGATTGCCATGCTTGAGCCGAGGTGGCAACTAATATTGCTGGAGTCGGCGTCGCGATTACGTCACAGCGGATGGCATCGTGTCAATGTGCTTTCTTCACTCGCTTCTTCACCATTGTCGTCCACGCGCGCGTGACATGATCGAGCGGAATTCCCAGCAGCAGGATCCCTCCCATGGCAAACTCCTCTTCCTGCCTCCTCATGTTTCTTCCTCCTCCTCCTCCGCCTCCTCCTCGTTTTCCTCCTCCTCCTGCACTTTGCTGTGCTCAGCGGAAGCAGGTGTCTAGGCCACCTGCTCCCCCCAAAAAACAGCACCAACTCATAGCTTGACCAGTCGGAGCGAACAGATCACGGCCGCAACGTGTGAGGAGTTGGGCAGGGTCCACCTCTCTTCCGACGTGCCGTCAACAAAATCAAAACCAAAAACTTCGGGGCAGCCCCCACACGACACATGGACTCCATTGTGCGAGGCACGCACAAGCGCAAGCAGGTCCGAGGGTGTTGGGGATCTGTAGCTCGGCACCGTCCCGCCAGCATACAGACGGCCCCCACATCGGGAAAGCTCCCCTGAAAAACCTTGATCTCTGCTGTCGGAGGTCCTTTATCGGTGGGTGCCCCGGACATCGGCCCGAGAGAGAGAGAGGCGACACCTGTCCAAGCATATACTCCACATTTGATGCAGCACATCACCCACCCGCTCCGAGCTGCCTCCCGTTATTGACGAAGACTGTGCCTTGCAAAGGCTGTGGCCCTGTAGTTGGGCCAGGAGGGTAGCATCATGCAACGCATCCGCTGAGCCCTGCACGTCAAGCTCGGTATTAAGCAACAAACGGAACCTCGAAACCGATATGAGGCCTCCAAAACTTTGCAACCGCTCGATCGGCTGACAAGATATATGGCGGATCGTTCTCTTCTTAGGCTTGATGGTGAGCTACCTCCGAGCCCTTCTCGACCTCCTCAGGCCCAGAGAAGCTCAAGGCATCAGCCCAGCCCCTCTTGGCCATGAGCACGTCCTGAATACCAGCCCATCTACGTAAGAATCTGATCTTGGGGGCGATCAAATCATCACGCAACTGCAACAACTCAGCAGGCAAGGGGTGAAGGGCCGCCCTGAGCTTCGCGAATCTGTCCGCGTGTTTGTTGCCACGTCCCTGACTTTTCCTCCTCCTCCTGCTCCTCCTCCTACTCCGCCGCCTCCTCCTCCTCCTCCTCCTCCTCCTCCTCCTCCTCCTCATCCTCCTCCTCCTCCTCCTCCTCCTCCTCCTCCCCCTACTCCCATCCCCCCTCGTGGGCCGCGCGGCGGCGCGCGGCGGGCGCTTGTTGAGGCGGTTCTTGGCCACGCCCAGCAGCTCCTTGGCCGCGGAGTCCGAGGCCATCAGCTCCTTGTACTCCTCGCCGTCGAAGAGGATTTCGAGGCTCGATGTCAGATGTTCGGAATTGGGATGTAGTTTTGTTTTTCATGATGGCCACGAACAGGACCGAAGACCGAGAACTGGTCCGCGAACCGAACCGGCCGAACCAAACCAGCCCTCGACCCGAACTGGCAGAACCAGACCGAACCAGACCGACGAACCGGACTGGTCGAACCGAACCCGACCGGATAACGATCTGAACCGGACCGGCTGATCCGACACGAAGGCGCGCCGAACAGGACCGAATCGAACCGAACCGGTGAGGGGGGAAGATGTGCCGGCTGGTAACTTGACCTTTTCGCTTCGTATGGCCGCGCGCACCGACGGTGTATATGACTCCGCTTAGATGGGAGGACCCTGCAAAAAACATGATCCTTCGAGGTTCGAGGTTCGGACTTCATCGGACGAAAAGGAACTCGAGGCTCAAAATGTTCGAACGTGTTCGTAGATTCCGGGCGGTTTTTCAGCCTCGGGAATCTCTCCCGCAGCTGCGCCTCGCCGAGGGCGTTCCGAGGGTTCGCGGATAATCCAGATCGGCCGCTGGAGACCCGAATAAAGACCCCAAAAAACGCCAGACGACGAGGACCCTATACACGCCGGTCGGAAGAAGCAGACAGAAACACGAAGCAGGAAAGCATTGGAGATGGATTTGGGCGGCCGCCCTCCCCCTGAAGAGGAGGGGCGAGGGGAAACCACCCGACCCTTGAAGTAGGAAGGCGCCTAAGGTACATTGGGATCTGGGATACCCAAACATGCCCTGATGGGCGTGTTTCCCACCACCACCACCCTGAGTTGGAGAGGGGGGGTCCTCCTCCTCCTCCTCCTCCTCCTCCTCCTCCTCCTCCTCTTCCTCCGCCCTCCAACTTGTGGTGGTGGTGGTGGTGGAAAACAAGCTCATCATGCCCGCTTCCAACGGCCGGCGCGTGTACCCCCTCGCGCCGTGGACAAAACACAAAACGCTACGGGAGGTCTTGGGCAAATGTCGGCCTCTGAGCGCCCTCGCCGGGTCCCCCGGGACCCAAACAGCACGCCCCTGGATGGAGAACTGGCCCTGGCAAGGATTTCGACAACTCTGGAGGAGGAGGAGGAGGAGAAGGAGGAGGAGGAGGCGGAGGCGGAGGAGGAGAAGTAGAGGGGCGAGGATCTGGATATCTCTGTCCGTCGGCGCTGTGAACAGAAATCAAGACATCGGATATCTGGGTCCTCCTCCTCCACTGTCATTGTCTGGGCTCCTCCTGCCCTCCTTCTGTCTCCGATCCTCCCCTTGGGAGGCAATCCACTGCAGTCGGCCCGTGTCAGAAGGACGCGCGATAAGGATGCAAGGTCCTTGGACGCCCATTTCGAGGCTTTTAGACCGGGGCGAGGCCAACGAAAGTGGCCAAGGATGGACCGAGGAGGCAAAGATGTAAGGGCACCCTTGGGAAAGTTGCCCATCCTTACTATGCGGGTTGACTGTACCAGGAGGTTTTCGTGAGAGCGATGAAGGACTAGTTCTGCAGCCAGATTTGTTTCTTTTAAGACGTCAAGCAATGTGAACCAATCTGAAATCCATGCTTCATCCCGATAACACTGCATTCAGCGGGATGAAGCGGAATTGAGCGGGATCGTGCCAGACTGGGTCGGCTTTTGCCTTGAAGAATTCTACCAGCGCGGATGCTGAATTGAACCTCCCAGAAGCTGCATCCCAACTTCACTCCGATCTCCGATGCCCTCCTCCTGCCTTTCGGGCGATGCTTTATGGGGGGGTCAATGCGCGATACATCGAGGGGTGAAGCAAAATGCATCCTTCGTGCACCTCAGGGACACTGAATGAGGCCCTCTTGGGCCCCCAAAGGGCACGTTTCTTTTTAGACGCCCAAAATGGGTATGGGAAAAAAATGGTACAACGCCCAACAACAAGTGGTGTCCAAAACCGACAGCGTCCGCTGTTGGGCAGGCGGCCTCCTGTCTTCAATGGACCACGTCCGCGGCGACGCGGACAGCGAGTCCCCTTCAAAACGAACAGGCAATGCTGCCAGTTGTTGCAACCGTTCTTTCCTTGCCCATTTCGATCGTCCCGTTTCTTCACCCCCCCAGCTGTCGCCCTCCCTTACGCAGCGCCCGACAATGCCCGACAGCCTGCCTCCTCCTCGCCGCCCGGCCAAGCGCACGCTCCCGGGCCCAGGATCCCTGGCCCAGCTCGTCTGGTCCGGCCTGCCCTGGGGGGAGGCGGCCGCCTATGAGCGTACAGAGACGCCACCTCCCTAACCCCAACCAGTGCCTCGCTCTCCGGCCTCCTCCTCCTCCGCCTCCCGCGCGCGCGGGGGAGCGCCACGCCGCCGACTGCCGAGGGCTGCGGCGGCAGACAGCCAGAGATGCACAGCGAGAGAGAGAGAGAGAAAGAAACAAACAAAAAAGCATGCACACAGAGAAGGGAAGACCGAGAGAGCGAGGACGACAGACAGACAGAGAGGGAGAAGAGAGCGAGAGAGAGAGAGGATCACAGAGAGAGAGAGAGAGAGCCGAGGACGAGGAGAGGGACAGAGACAGCGCGAGAGAGGGATGGGGCAGCGGCACGCCGAAGGGACCCCGGGCGACCGCGGGGCCCTCCTTGTTCTCCAGCATCCTCGTCTCGGAGGCCTCGCCCCCGCCGCGCTCTCGGGCGCGCGGCCCCCCCTCCCCGCGCCCTGCTGGCTCGCCCGCCGTGGCCCCGGCCTCGCCCCGCTCGCCCTGGCCTCGCCGCCCTGCTCGTCGCCGCCGCCCCCTCCCGCCCGCGGGGGGAGGAGACGACGACGACGAGGACGACGACGACGACGACGACGAGGACGAGGACGAGGCCGAGGACGAGGACGACGACGAGGACGACGAGGACGAGGACGAGGACGAGGACGACGGACGACGGACGAGGACACTGACGACAACTGACAGCACCTGTGACAGATGGCAGACAGCCGCGCAGACGAAGATCCAGAGCGAGGGATCCCACAGCGGGGATCGAGGGTGGAGAGAACCTCCTCCGCCTCCTGCTCCGCCCCCGATCCCTCGCTTGCTCCCCACAGTGACTGACGCACGACCACCACACCACTGGGGAAACGAAAAGGTACCGATACCGCTACTCCACGGACCTCCCCTGGGGTGAGTTCTGACCAGAATTTCGAGGTGAATCCAGCGGTGGTAACGAGGGCTTCTGAGGAGGCCCAAAAAGGGGAAAGCGAGGGAAGGGTGGAGGTATGGATGCCTTGTCCTCCTCTGAACCACGGGAAGGCGGCGCCCAAAACAACACTCGCGCAGTGCGACGCTGGCCCTCGCTGGCTCTGGCCAGCGCGCCGCCACAAAAAGGGCGCCCTCGCCGAGGCCGCCCCTCCGTTGCAGACTACCACCGGCGGTCCTCGATCGGGAGCGTCCAAGAAGGGGGCGTCTAAGAGGAGGGGGTGCACATCATGACCGGCGGCATGTGCGCGGCCCAGGGGGGGGGCGGGGACGTATTGAAACAAGAAGAGGCGCCATGAAATAAATCTAGGAAAAAATCATGGCACGCGTCATGATATCCACCCCCCCCTAGTCATCACCCCCCTCTTTGCCGCCCCCGACTCGACCGTGCCTCCCAAATGCCGCGCCCGCTCGGCGGTGCGCTCACGCGGCGTGCTCGCACCATCGCTCCACGGCCTTCCCTCCTCACCCAGTCGGGGGCGGCCAAGAGGGGGGCGTCCAAGAGGGGGGGGTGCAAATCATGGCTGGCAGCATGTGCGCAGTCCAGGGGGTGGGGGATCCAGGGACGTAATGAAACAAGAAGGAGGCGCCACGGAATATGAGGAACTATCAGGGCCCACGCCATGATATCCCCCCCCCCTAGTCATCACCCCCCTCTTTGCCGCCCCCGACCCAGAGGAAAAGTCCTCTGCACTGGAAAATCCGAGAGGAGCAAAAATCTGAGCTCCGCGCGGATTTCTTGGATCGGCGCTCATGCCCTCCCTGGCGCGCGGAGTGCGCCAGGGGCGGCGCCAGAGGCGCCGCCAGGGGATTCCCAGCGCAGATCCAAGAAATCCGCGGGCACCGCCGAACATTTACGTCTATGCACTTTTTCCCAATTCGAGCCGCACACCGGCAGGTGCGGCTGCCACTTCGGTGACCTCGGAAGAGCAATAAGCAACGACCATCACCCCGCCGGCGCGTGAGAAAAAGCGCATATCGTGCCTGGGCAGACGAGGATGAATACAAGTAATGGGCCGACAGTGGTCAGAGCCATGGACACGCAGCTTGCGAACACGAACGCCGGAACTCAGGGACTACAGCGGAGGGAGAATCACATATCCCCTTGCGAGAGCATCAACAAAGCGAGTGGGGAGGCGAGAGGTACCATCTAAGATTCACAGGAAGGCGTCGGCGTCGGGGCGCGCACAGCAGTGGGACCCCGCCCATCGCATCATGACTTCCAGTACAAAAGGTAGATTACATCTGGTGAGCTCCCTGCCGCCCCCTATGAATTACACCCCGGTCTCCCGTCCTCTCACCCGCCGCCCTGTTGTCGCCATCGCCTGCCTCGTCGTCGTCGTCGTCGTGGTGGGCGACGTCGTCGTCGTCGTCGTCGTCGTCGTCGTCGTGGTCGTGGTTTTGTCGACGTCGTCGTCCTCCTCCTCCTCCTCATCGTGCTCCTCCTCCTCCTCCTCCTCCTCCCGTCTTTCTGGACATGGACACCCTCCGTACCCCCACCAAGAGAAGCCCTGGTGGCCCCGTGAGCCAGCCGGCCCCCGGCCCCTCCCGTGTGGCAGCGGAGGCGCCGCGGGGGTTGACGAACGTGCGACAAACGCAGGGTGCGACTTTTGCTTGCGTGCAAGCAGGCGAGCAAAGAGCCGCACCCTCACGGCGCAGCGGCAGGAGATGTGCCTGCATATGATGGGTTTGTTTTCCATCACCACCATAAGTTGGAGGGGGGAAGGAGGAGGAGGAGGAGGAGGAGGAGCCCCTCCCCCTCCAACTCATGGTGGTGGTGAAAAACAAGCCCATCATGCACATGGCCCCGGCAATCCCAACCATTTCCCAGGTCGCCCACCTTCGCGCGTCGCGCGCCCTGCAGGTGTTCGTCGCGCCCTCGCAACGCCCCGGTTTGAGAAGGGCACCGACTCTGGGCCAGACCGCAATGCGCGACCGAGCCCCCGAGGGTGATCCAGTCTGGCAGTGGCCCAGGGCCAGTGTTTCATCCCGGGTCGATTTTTGACGGCCCTCCTTCTCCTCCTCCTCCTCGTCGTCGTCGTCGTCCTCCTCCTCCTCCTCCTCTTCCTCCTCCTCCTCCCTGGGGCCCAGCGAGGGCCCCCGCGAGGCCGAAAACGGGGAGAAACCTGCGTGCTGATGTGTTCGACGCGTTGGACGTCTGAGTCCACACTGCGCTCGCCTCCTCCCCGATCCCCCTCCTCCTCCTTCATCCTCCCCCTCCTAGGACGGGAATGACATATTGGCTCAGGATGCGTTGCGTGAGTTCCAAAGTATCTACCGGCCCTCGTTTCTGCAGCCCGTGCGGAACAGCAGGAAACCTGGCACATCCTGGAAATCCCTGAACGCATCGTGATCATAACCTCTTGCTCCTCTGACCTCCTCCTCTCCTCTCGGGCGGCGAGATCCATTCAGATCCTCCGCAGCTGGCCTGGCCAGCCGCGGTGGGTGTGGATAGATCTCGCGCCCCAGCCCTCACACTCCTCCCCGCCCCTGGCTTCGAGGGACGGGGGGGGGCAGCGGCTAGGCCGGGGAACGCGCCTGGGCCACGGCCTTGTCCAGGGACTGGATGCTCGCCTGCGCGCGGGCCGCGAGGGACCGCGGAGACGGCACGCGCAGAGGGCTTCTGCCTACCGCCACCGTGCCTGGCCGGGACCCCCTGTAGGAATACCAAATCAGGTGCTGCTACTCTCCCCCGACCTCTGCAGGGGTGCGTTCTGACCAGAATCTCGACGCGGATCCAGCGGTGGCGACGAGGGACCCCCAGGAGGCAACGAGAAGGGGAAAACGAGGAAGGGGGTAGCGGTAGCGGTGCCTTCTCCTCCTCTTGAGCAGGGACCGACCGTCCCGGTAATCCTATAGGCCTACCTACACGACCACCCTTCGGGTGAGAAGGAGGTTGTTGGGGGGGGAGAGGGAGGGGAACCAACATCTGACTCAATCGATCTCACTATCGACCTCACTCAACGGGACACCACGAAACACCACGGGACACTAGTCGATCTCACTATCGATCTCACTATCGATCTCACTCAACGGGACACCACGGGCCACCACGGGACACCACGGGACACCGCGGGACACCTCTCGATCTCGCTATCGGTCTCACTATCGATCTCACTCAACGGGACACCATAGGACACCACGGGACACCTCGGGACACCACTATCGATCTCACTATAGATCTCACTGAAAGGGACACCACGGGACACCTGTCGATCTCACTGTCGATCTCACTTTTTGGGACACCACGGGACACCACGGGACACCTCGGGGCACCACATCGATCTCAATATCGGTCTTAGTATCGATATCAATATCGATGTCACTATCGATCTCACTCAACGGGACACCACGGGACACCACGGGACACCGCGGGACACCGCGAGCCACCGCCGGACGGACGCTTCTCCACTGCTTGACCTCTGCATCTCTCGAGGGTGGACGGGGCCCCCTTCCGCCGTCCGCAGAGCACCCTCCGGTGAGAGAACGGCCAGGGAAGGGCCAAAGCCGGCGGGCGCAGGCCCGCCGGAAGCTGTGGCCGCCACGCTGTCTCGCGGACCGGGACGGAGGAAGTCGCTATTCGGCTTGGCAGGGTGGGAGGCAGCCAGCCTTCTCGGTGGCTCAAGGCAGAGGGCAGAAAACCCACCCGAGAATAACCACTCCGACACGCGAAGCCGTTTAGTAAACGCTCCCAAAGAAGGAATCGAGCAGGGCAGGGCTGTTTAGTAAACGCCGGGGGCCGTTTAGTAAACGCCGATTGTCCAGTCCGGGTGGCTTTTCCTCCCTCGATAAGGGGGAGACACCCTAGATGCTCGAATATGCTCCTGTACTGCCCCCGCGCCCAGAAACGGCCCCTGGGGCCGAGATCGAAGAAGGAAGGCTGACACTCCCAGAACTGAAGAACCACGACGCTGGGGTCTGGGATCGGCCCTGGCATGGCGTGCACGCCCTCCCGGCTGAGGCCAGGAGGGTCCGTGCGCCATCCTCAGGCCCAGGATGATGAGTGACAAACGTACCCCGGATCTTTCGGGAGGGGGCCCGAGGCAGGAGGGCCAAAGACATTAGGAACAGGAGGTTATGTTTCGCAGGTGTTCCCATACGAAAGCACCCACACCTTCAGGGATAGCCCTAACACCGAGGACCTCATTTAGGCCACGAACTCATGATAATTAGGGTTAGGGGTTGTATTATGCTTGACGATGGATGTTCTAGCTACCTCTGACTCTTGAGCCATGGCATGATGTACACGCCCTCCCAGCCGAGGTCAGGAAGTCTTATACCTCATCCCAGGGTCCAGGGCGGTTCTGACCGAGCGGTCGTGTCCAGATGCCCTCTGCAGGAGAGCCCAGAATCGATTCGAACAAGTCGGATCGGAGATCGACATGAACCGGATCGACGGATATCGGCAGCCGAGTCGGGAAACATCGAATCGGCAGACATCGGCAGGCCAGTAGGGCTCCAATGAAGAAATCGGATCCCACATCGGGATCCGACATCGAATCGAATCGACATCGGAGTCCATCGAAATCGAATCGACTCAAATCGGCGGCCTCGAAATGAGCCCTGAGGCGCCACCAAGGGGGGCTTCCGCGCCGATCCAAGACATCCCCGCGGTCCTCCGACAACTTTAGGCTCACGCCGCTTCCCCTCCCCCGAGATCCCCAGGAGCCTGGCGGCTCCCTCGGTGGCGACGACCCCGGTTCCTCCCTGCGGGTCCGACGAAAAGAACTTAGCAGCAAAAGCGCGGTCAGCGAATCGGCAGACCGGTCTTCACAGCGCCAAGAAGCGCCAAAGCATCGAGGACAGCGGTCGTCCGCGAGGCCGGAACCAGCTGCATGCAGCAAATTTCGTGGAGGAGAACCCTAGAGGCATCGTGCGGCAGTTTGAGACCCAAATTAACTCCGGACCCACGTCGCACCTCGGTCGGATCTGTTTCGGGTTCGCGTCGGACTCGCGACAGAACATCGCCGCGCGAAAATCGTCCCGTATCTGACGGGGCGCACGTGTGGACTAGACAATCGACATGAGAGGGCCACCCGCGACCCACCCGCGAGACACCCGCAGCCCGCCCGCGAGACACCCACGGCCCACCCGCGACCCACCCGCAACCCACCCGCAACCCACCCGCGACCCCGCCCGCGGCCCATTCGCGACTCGCCCGCGACCCGCCCGCGACCCGCCCCGCGCCCGCCCCCTCGCTTCTGTCCGCAAGTGCGGGGGGCTACATGCAATCATTGCGCGCCGCGCGAGGCCTCCAGACAGTGTCTTGACAGACTTCGTACACCCCCCATGGGGCGCGAGAGGACTCCGTGGCGAGCCCGACAGCGGCGACTGGGCCACCCCCGCCACCCCAGAGGCCCAGAAGGGCGAAGACCAAGGAAGAGCACCGGCGTACAGTCAACGTGCACGATATGGACGCACGGTAAGGATGCAGGGGCCTTGGAAGGCCCTGTCGACACTTTGCGGGCGTGGCGCGGGCAGCGAAAGCGGCCAAAAATGGGCCAAAGGGGAAGGATGCAAGGGCAACCTTGGAAAATAGTTTATCCTTACTGTGCGGGTTGACTGCAATGCCAGACAGCATCCGACATGACTTTGCAATCCGCGGCCCCAGAGTCCGAGAGAGCGCGTTTCACGGACGCTCGCCTCAGGAACATTCGGCGGCGCGTTTCGAAACGGGGGGTTGGCTCCCCCCCACTCGGCGCCGTCGATCAAAACCAGGGGGACTCCCCTCCCCCCCAACCCCCCTCCTCCCGACCCCCCCCCCTTCCCAAGGGGGGGGCGGGGGGTTTTGAACCCCTCCCTCGGCGCCAGCGCTGGCGCCGGCGCTGGCGGCCGCCAGTAGCGCCGACGGCGGGGACGCAGCGACGATGACCAGAGGCAGCCCAGCGGGGGGGGGTTCAGGAGGCCCCCCCTCCACCCCACCCCTGGCGCCCGCGCCGGCGCCAGCGCTGGCGGCGGCCAGCAGCGCCAGCGCTGGCGCCGGCGACGGCGGGGACGCAGCGACGATTACCACCACTACCACCATACCACCACCACCACTACCACCACCACCGCCTCAACCCACCACCGCCACCACCAACCCTCCACACAACCACCACCACCACCACTACAGCCACCACCACCAGCACCACCACCACCACCAAAACTCACCATCACCACCACCACACCACCACCACAACCACCACCACCACCACCACACAACCACCACCACCACCACACACCACCACCACCACACCACCACCACCACCAAAACCACCACACACCACCACCACCACAACACCACCACCAACCACCACCACCACCACCACCACCACCACCACACCACACACCAACCACCACCACCCACACCACCACACACCAACCACCACCACCACCATCACCACCACCAACCACCACCGCCACCACCACCACCAGCACCAGCACCACCTCCACAAACCACCACCACCACCAACCCAACACGACCACAACCACCGCCACCACCACCACCACCACAAACCACCACCAAACCACCACCAAACCACCATCACCACCACCACAACCCACCACCACCACCATAAACCACCACCACCACCACCATAAACCACCACCACACTACCACGAAACCACCACCACGAAACCACCACCACGAAACCACCACCACCACCAACACCACCACCACCACCACCACCAACACCACCACCCACCACAACCACCACCACCACAACAAACCACCACACCACCAAAACCATAACCACCACCACCGCCACCACCGCCACCACAACCCACGACAACCACCGCCGTCGTTCTCGTCGACGCTCCCCGCCGCCGCCGCCCGCCGCCGCAAGCGCCGTCGCTGGGCTAGAAAACGAAATCGTCGTCCCCGCCGCCGCCGCCGGCCGCCGCCGACGCAGGCGCCGGCCCGAGGAGAGAAGAGAAGAAGGGAGGGGGGGGGCGTTCGAACCCCCCCCGTCACGGGAAAAAGAGGGGGGGGGTCGAACCCCCCCCCCCCATCCAGGGGGGGGGTCCGGTTCCACCCCCCCCTTTTCCAAGCGACCACAGAAAGCGTTCTTTCAGAGGTCCCGACCCATTCCACGGGGGAATGTACTGGGCAGTTTTTCGTCGCAAGTACATATTTGGTGCCCCCTGGGCCCGATAGCGGGCCTCGGAGGCTGAAACTGAGAAAGCACACCCAGATTGAAACCCTCGTATCGTCGGAGATCTTGGGAGGTTATCATTCCCTGTGCCGAAATGCGTCCGCAAGTCTGGACACATCATTTACCGGGACCCTCTTCTTCACCCCGAGCCGTTTTTGTTGACGGCCCCAGGGCCCGGCGATGGGCCCCAGAGGCCGACATGCAGAACAACCTCCCAGTCTGAGTTGTTCCACTGCTCGAGGGGGTCCGGGCTCGGCGCCACCCGACGCTCCCCCCCTGGGGGAGGAGCGCGCCCCGCGGCGCAACGCACCCGCGCGGTGTGAAAATGCGGGGTGGGCGGCCGCCCAGGCGCACTGGCCCCTATAGAGGAGACCGCCGCGGGTCTCCCGACGGCAAAAGCGCTTGCCCTTGACCGCCCCCGGGGGGGCCAGAGGAGGCGGGGTCCCCGACTTCCTCGATCTCGGTCCCCGCCCTATTCTTCTGCCTCGGTTTCGATCTCGGTCCTTCCCTTCCGCGTTCTTCTCCTCGGCGGCGGCCTTTTTGGGGCCAGTGACACCGGACCCCAAAGCCATGAAAAATGGACTCGGCTCTTCGACTCCCGCGTTTTTCCTCGGTGTTGGCCTTCGGGGCCCCTGATCGGACCACGGGGCCACCAGCAACAAAAAAATGGATCCTGGACGCAGGCATCCCCCCCGCGGGAAGGGGTCGGGGCCGCTGGGGCCGCGCGGTTGGAAGCAGCCGGATCGTCAGATGTCTGGGGTCGGGGCGAGGGGCTTGACAACCGGCTTCTGCAAGTCTTGCCACCTCGCTCCTGTGTCTCGCTGCTCGCACGCAGCTGCATATGTCCCGCTCTGGAGTTCCTATGCGACGACTTATACGTGGTATGGTCCGGGCTCCGTCCTGTTTTTTCCTCTCGCATCTTGCTATTGCGTTGTGCCTGAGTGAACTTCTGGTGCGCCGCTCGCTTTGACCATCGCCTGACCATCTCGCGCACCCTGGCACCCGCGTGCTGAAACAATAATGCCTGGAGTTGGAAATCGCATCGCGTCGCCGACGCATCGGCGACGTCGGAATGGGAGAAAGTCGGGCCCCAGATCGCGCCGTATCGCAGATACGTCAGGGATGCTGCACGACCTTCTGGCCCCATCTGCTCCGACCCCACCGAGGCGGCCTGGGAACTTCTTGCGCAGGGCGGGAGGAGATTCGGACGAAGGGGATCTGCTCGAGAGCTTAAAGAAATCCCACATATTTGCATCGGGCGCCACGGCCGTCCCAGAGCGCCCCGGAACGATCTGTCCTCATCCTGGGCCTACCCGTCCCTTACGTTTTTTCTCCCACGGCGTGGCCCTCCCCCCACACACAGGTCTGGACACATTTTCCTGGGGACCAACTTCTCGTCCTCCGTTTCGTGCTGGTGACGGCCCCGTGGCCCGCCGAGGGCACCCGCAGGGCGAGGACGTCCAAAAACCCTGCGCGGTAATTGTGTTCACGATGCCAACGGGGGGTTTTGGACAGGACAGGACAGGAAAAGGCCACGCTTAGACGGCGCATCGGCAGATGATTCGGCAGCTCGTAATGTAAATATGCGGTAGCGTGCAAGAGCATGCAAATCAACAGCTACGCGGTGCCTTGGAGAGGTCGTTGTGCCTCGGAAAGGTCGGAGAAGGAGGGAGGGGGTCCTGGGTTTGTTTTTATCCACCGTGGCGGCACTGTGCGTCAAGTCCTGAAGGGGCCAATTCGGGGATCTTCTGACCTGGGTCAATCCAGGCCCGGGTCAGTCAAGCCTTGCAAAATGCTGCAAGATCCTGCACCCAAGCCCGGGTCAATGCGACCCTGTCCCTGCAGGATCCTGCAAGACCCGGCGCTCTGGCAGACCCCCGTTTGCGTTGATCCCTGTCTAATGGCTCCTGCCCCAACGCGCCACGGTCTGCGCTGGCGGCACCCGGAACCACGACTCTGCCCCTGGGCCGCCTTCCCAGGGGACGGCGCTGGCGGGGAGGACGGCGTCGGCCTGGGGGATGGGCGCCTCCGCCCACGGACGTGGTCAAGGTGCAACCCGCAAGGTGGTGAGACCTGGTGTGAACTTTGGTGCGGGCTCTCGCTGCAAGCATCTCCTCACAGTGGCTGGACCGTCCAAAAAGCTCACGCCCAGTCCTTCCAAGAGATGCGGCAAGCCCGCGTTCCGGCAACCTCTGGTCTCACGTGTCTCCCACACACGTATACGTGCCATGTCCTCGGCATGTGAGGACACATGCATAAGCAATTATAAATCAGAAAACGATCAGAACCGGCGGATCTGGAGGATGTATCGGGCGCGGTTCCTCGGACTGTCTGAATCCCTCGTGGTTGGCATCTTCCTATCTTTTCTGCCTCGGGAGAGGCCGCGCTCGGGTCCCACAGGGCCGCCAGGAAGCCGCACGGTCAACCCGTACAACAGGGACGCACGATAGTGATGCAAGGGCCGTGGAAGGCCATGTCGACACTTTGCGGGCGGGGCGCGGCCAGCGCAGGTTTTTTGACCTCGACAGGCCTCACCACATAAGCCAGAGGCGGCTCCACATAGCATCTGTGGGAAATGCTGTGAGCTATATGCACCGTGCAGCAGGCGCAACAAATTCGACCTCGCCTGGGCGAGAGCCGCTATGGGGCCGCCCCAAAGCGGCGGGGGTTTCGCGAGTTCCTTTCGGAACGCCCACTATGGCCCCCACCCCATCACGGATCAACCCTCGGCTCGGCCGCCGAGGACGGGCCGAAGAGGAAGGCTGCCCGGGCAGCCTTGGAGTCATCCTTGTTGTGCGGGTTGACTGTATACGGGATGAGAGCTCTTCTCCGGAGAGAAAACGTGCACAGAACGGAAGCCCGCTCTTGAACTAACACGGCGTCGGAGGTCTGAGATTTTTCGCTCGAGGTGTATGATGCTGACGTTTCGCAACACTCCACAGCGACGACGGACCCAAATCCGATCATGAACAGTTCCCCCCTGGGTCCATCCTGGGCAATTATTGCCCCGACGCTGCTTCTGACGGCCACTGACTAGAAACGGACCTCCAGAAACCGAGCACGGCCAAAACCTCCTCGAGCCTCGAACCTCGATTGGTCGATCGAGAAAAAAACATGTAGCAGCCCCGCCGTGCACTGTCCACCATGTAAACAAGAATTGTCGGAGCTCTTCCACGATTCCTCGCGGTCACGTGAAACTCTGAACTTGTTCACTTCGGAAGAGGAAGAGGAGGGGAATGAGGGGCAGGAGGAGAAGGGGGAGAAGATTAGGGAACTCAAAGCGAACGCACGCTCCGAGCCACGAACATGAATATGCACGTCGGTTCGCGAGGCCGCCCTCATGAAACGAAGGCTCGCACAATGCGTTTTCTCGAAACCCCGGGTGAATCCATGTACGCGCGCGTCTTTCTGCTGCTCCGGAGAGAGGAGAAGGGAGGGAAGGAAGGAAGGAATGAAGAGAGGAGGAGGAAGGAGGAGGAGAGGAGTGGGATGAGGGGGAGGAGGGGGGGGAGGGGAGAGAGGAGGAGCGAGAAAAATGAAGAGGGGGGGATGGACTCTGTTCCTGGCGCCCCCCTGGCCTCCAGGCTGGCCATCTCCTCCTTCAGGGTGGCGATGCCTGTCTCGGCGGCCTCGCCGCGAGAGAGCAGAGGCGACAACGAGAAATGCCGACGACCCGCGGCCGAGAGCCTATCCGCACATCCGGCATGACCTTGCGCAAGAGACGAACACATACCCAAATCGCCCTCGCGTCGTGAATGCAAACACGACGGACTATTTTTGGGTACGATCGAAGCGCGTACGGAAAGGATGGGTGCGAAGACCGACGGCATCTCTTGAACATTCCGAACAGGCTCCGTTGTCGGTGTCGCCGCAGACGCTGTCCATTCGAGATACAGGGCCGCCTGCCCAGCAACGGCCGCTGTCGGTTTTTGACAACACCTGCTGCTAGGCTGCTAGGCATCGCCCTTGTCTTGTCCGTGCCCATTTCGGGCTTCCAATTCTGCTGGACATTCTCGGCTTCTGGGGGCCCTCACCGGGCCACAGGACCGCAAACATAAACGACTCGGGATGAGGAAGACCCGTCCCAAGGAAAGTGCCCCGACCTCTCTCAGGGCCCGAACGGAAACAATGCTTTCTTCCGTCGTCGTGTTGTTTTTCGTTTCCCCTCGCTCCGTCATCGCTCCGCCGCTGCTGCAAAACAACATCCAAACGAACGAAACGGTACACGGAATCGCCCGAATACCGTTTAGTTCGAGCTCCGACCTCTCTTTCACCAGGGAGACGTAAGACTCGGGTTAGGGGGACTCGGGTTCGCCTGACGGGGCCATCATGAATATGACGAGACCCAGTCTGAATTTGACGCGAACTCCCGCTGCAGACATCCAACGAAAACTGGACCGTCAAAATCCAAGACGCGCTCGCCAACAAAAACGTCGGCAAACCCGAGTCCGGGTGTACTCGGGTCTGCTGTTTCCCACATTCAAGACTCCCCTCGCCTCTTTTTTGAATGACCGTTCCCTCGCGCCGACACGATGCGCGCGCCGCCAATCTTGCCAGGCCGGGGGCCAGGGCCACTCTCAGCCCTGCTGCGCCCTCCCTTAGAGGGTTTTTGCGTACCAACGCTGTGGGGCCCAGGATGGCCCCGTCCAGGAATGGTGGTGCACGGGGCGCACAAGGACATACCCGTACTAGATGTCCTCCTCGGGGGCGCGCGTCCGACCCGAACATATAGCATAACCATATTGTAGTAAACTGTTTCCCGAACGGTGTGGCTGAAAATACGCCCGCCGCGACACACACACACACACACACACACACACACACACACACACACACACACACACACACACACACACACACACACACACACACACACACACACACACACACACACACACACACACACACACACACACACACACACACACACACACACACACACACACACACACACACACACACACACACACACACACACACACACACACACACACACACACACACACACACACACACACACACACACACACACACACACACACATATATATATATATACACACTATGACAGTGCTCGGTGCGCGCATCGCCCCTGGCGGGGCGACGCACTCATAATATTAAAATGATGCCTGCTCCCGTCGTGTGTAAGGGCCACATCCCCAACTGGATTTTGAACACCCAGAGAAACATCTAAACCGTATCTGCTCGACACGCTGACGAAGGGTCGAACATGAAAACGGAAAACACGCGAACTCCTGCCAATCGGAACATTTTCTTGATGTTCGAAATTCCCTCTGGTGATCGAGGCGAAGGTAGGTCGGAACAGCGTAAATTTACACATGCTTTCGGCGGATGCGTTCTCCATGTCGTCGGCGCTCTCTGGACCGCGCACTTGAAATAGTTCGACAGGCTCGCCAACGGACCACATTTACGAACATGGACACGGGGCGCGTCACAAAAGCACGCCGGTTCCCATCCATTTGCACGGCCAAGATAATGTCAGCTCACGGTTAACACATCCGCGGGGGGGACGCGTTTGAACACATAGTTTCCCTGCTCGGACGAATCGCGGGGTGGCGCCCACCAGCTTGAAAATCAACGGCGGCGGCCGGCGAAGGCGGAAAAAAACAGGGACCGTGAGCCAGGGCGACACCTGCTCGAAATGAAAAAACAGTTGTCGGCGCTCGCCCCCGTACTTGCCGTGCTGTTTTTGTCGAGCCGATGCGCTTCCTCTGCCCTGGCCGCAACCAGGGCGGCGCCAGCTGCCTCGCGGGCCCGCGAAAAAAACGGGCTGGACGAAAGGGGGGGCGTGGCCAAGCGGGAATTTGCCCAGCAGCTCACATGGTTGATTTTCAGAACGCCCCCTGGCGCCGAAAGCGGCCATGCATCGAGGACTGGCCCCTCGGTGGGGAGACCGAAACCAGCTGCGCGCAGCAGGTTTCGCAACCCCACTTTCCTTCCCCAGCCTATCGTCCGACCCGAACTGGGCGGGCAGTCCTCCCCCCCCGTCGTGGTCTCTCTCGTCGTCGACGACGACGACGACGAACGACAACGACGACGACGACCAAGACGAGGACGAGGACGAAGACGAGGACGATGCCGAGGAGGACGAGGACGAGGACGAGGACAAGGACGACGGACGGCGGACGGCTGACGGCGACGGCGGCGGCGACGACGACGACCCACTGCTGATGTCCTATGGGGGAGGGGGGGTGCTGCGCAGGCCCGATGTCGACGACGAAGACGACAAAAACGACGCGACGACGACGAAAAAGACAACGACGACGACGACGAGTACGAGTACGACGACGACACGGACGACGAACAAAACATGATGACGACGACGACGACGACGGCGGCGACGACCACGGCGACAGCGGCGACGACGACGACGCAGTGCGGATGCCCTATGGGGGAGGGGGAGGTTGCTGCGCAGACCCAATGTAGTCGACGACGACGACGACGACGACGACGACGGCGGCGACGACGACGACGACGACGACGCGACGACGACGACGAAAACGACAACGACGACGACGACGAGTACGAGTACGAGTACGAGTACGAGATCGAGTACGACGACAAGGGCGACGAAGACGACGACGCCAAAAATATTCACCTCGGATATGTACGGCCCCTATAACAACTTCCAAACGAAAAGCAATCGCTTTGAGGCTGCCATGCAGGTACACGATCCCCTCGGCGGCGACAGCGACGACCCCTGGGCGCGCGTGATAAAAAAAAAGAAAAAGTTTTGCGCCCCGCGGGTTTTTTCATCTGCCCGGGTGGGGGCTCCCATTGGTTAGTCGCAAGCTGGCACTGTTGAGGGTAAGCGCATGGAAACCGCTTAATTTCTTCTCGTGGGCCGTGGAAGAAATGGAGACGTGGGCAACGTGGAATCCAGAACTTCCGACGTCGTATGTTTTTTGTTCAGGACGTGCTGCACCTTTTCCCGGGGGACCGCTTTTCCGTCCCGGATGGTTTCTTGATGGTTCTCTGGCTTCCCGTCAGCGAAACACATAGAAACTGACTCCGCCTCTACCCGCACCAACGGTCCATCTGGCGAGAGGACAATCTTACGCGCGGCCGAGTCAGGCTCTGGCCCCCCTGCGCACTTCGAAGGCCGTGCACTGAGGCAGAGTGACGTAACAACGGCATAAATGTAACCTTTGGCGGAGCTCTGACGATGTGTATGCCTTTGTTGGGTGCTCCGATGACGGTAATTCCAGCGAAGAGTTACTCTTAGAAAGTCCAGGGTTCGCTAGGGACTGGTTTCCTTTCAAAATCGCCGAAACCCTCCCGAAACCCTCCGAAAACCCTCCTGGGAGGCTTTTCGGAGGGTTTCGGGGGGGCTTTGAAAGAACTTTAGCCGGTTTTCGGAGAAAACCAAATCCCTAGTGAACCTCGGGTTTTTTTAAGGCTACTCCTACGTGCAGCGGAACGGCGTACGCAGTCCGAGCTATCACCCGCGCGGCTGCCAGAAGGGGCCCCTGCCGCAGGGGGCGCGGGTGCGCGCGCGCGCTGCGGCACCTGCGAGGCCGGACCACCCTCGGGGAGGCGTACAGCCGAGCTGTCACCATGGGGGACGTTAGACAAGGAACAAGATTTAGGTCGAGCGTGTCCTCCTACAGGCGGATTTTGGAAGACAACCAAAAATCCGCCGATCCGGCGTGTGAGTTTAAGAAAGCTGCAGCTCTTCTGGGGGGGGCCGGGGGGGGCTCTGCCGGGGTAGGGGGGGAAGGGGGGGGTTCATGGGGTCCACCCTTTCTTTCCCTCCCCCGGGAATCCCAAACCGCCCCAAGACGGGCCAAAAGGGGCCCAGGAGGCCACCAAGACGGTCGAAACGGCCCAACAGCGCTCCTGACCCCCCAAGATGGCCTGAAGACGGCCCAAGAGGCCTCCAAGACGCCTCAAGGAGATCACAAGAGGACCCCCAAGAGGGCCCCAAGAGGGTACAATAATTCGCCGGCCCAACGGGCCAGAGGCGTGCTAAGATCTCTGGTAACTACTTAACAATATTTCTAGTTCGCGCGCGCGGGGCGGCACCTGGGGCCCCCCGGACGAAAAGTACCCCGGCCGATCCCCGGCCGGGTCCCGGGCGATCCCCAGGGGGGAGGCTATTTTTCGCCACCCCTCACGAGGATCGTGGCCTCCGAGGGGGTGGCTGCAATCGACTACCCCCCCTCCCGCCCCAAAGAGGCCCCAGGGGAGCCCAAGACGCCGCCAAGGAGCCCCAAGACGCTCCCAAGAAGCCCCCAAGAGGCCCCCAAGACGGCCCCAAGAGGCCCCAAATAGCTCCAGGGCCGGCGGAATGAGCGAAGCGATTAAATAAAGCTGCTTATAGATTTTGAAGCATTTAAGCATTATCGCCTTTTCTGTCTTAGAAGCGCCGAAGACGGTCCAAGAGGCCCCCAAGATCGCCCCAAAGAGGCCCCCAAGAGGAGCCAAGACGGTCCAAGAGGGCCCCAATACAGCCCTGGAGGCCCCCCAAGACGACCCCGACAGGCCCCCAAGATGACCTCAAGAGGGTGAACCCGAACGGACCCTTCTAGTCCTCCACCCCCAAATAACCCCAAAAGCCCCCAAGATGCCCCCGAGGCGCCCCCAAGGGGCCCCCAGAGGCCCCCAAGAGGTCCCCAAGAGGCCCCCAAGAGGACCCCGAGTGTCCCCAAGAGGCCCCAAAGGCCCCCAAGAAGCCCCAAGAACCTAGAGGCCCCAAGAGGCGCTCACTCGCGTGCTGCCAGGCCAGAGGTGCACGGCCTGACTTGGTATTGCTCGGAAGCGAAAGCGATGAACGAAGAACCTTCCACTCGTCGCCGTTACCAGTCGTCGGTCGTCGGCCGTCGGCAGCCGTTCGCCGTCAGTCGTCGTCGTCGTCGTCGTCGTCGTCGTCGTCGTCGTCGTCGTCGTCGGTTCGTCGTCATTAACTCCTTCGTCGGTCGTCGTCGTAATTATCCCGCTCGTCGACCGTTGGTCGTCCGTTGTCGTCGTCATCGCCCATTTCAACAACAATAGCATCAGGAGCGCCCCGGATCAGCGGCACTGGCCGGAAGCCACTACAATAGTCAAACAAATATTCAAAACAAGTGAAAAGAGCACGAACAATCGTCACCTGTAGAGGGGCATGCCCGACTTGAAACATGATGCTGAAGCTTCGCTAGGACGAAACCCAGACGAGGATACAATCATCGGGTGAATATACATCGAGGATCTCTGAAATCTGGCGGCTCTGGAGGATGTCTCGGGCGTCGCAGCCTTCTCAGAGCGTTCCCGAACGCTCCAGAGCGTTCAGGCACGCTCTGGAGCGGACTTATCCCCATCCTGGCCCCGTCCGATTCGGGTCACCAAGCGCGGCAGCCCGAACAAAAAGCCACGAACAAAACCGTCTGGCGCAGCCGTAGTCGAAAGCCCGTGGCGCCAAGCGCTGTGCGTCTGGAAGAGCGCAGGGATAGCCGACGGCTCGGGGGGCTGTGCACGAGGCCCCGTCTCTGGCACCGGGGGCGCACGGGTGCACGACGAGCGCGAGAGGCATAACCGGAGCAGGGCCCAAGGAAGGGCGAGCCCCTTGCGAACCCTCACTGCCCCTCACTGCGGCGTCTTGTCTGTGGAAGAGAGGGCACGGGCTAGGCGAGCACGGCGTGATCTTGTCGTGGCGGCGTGGGCTTTCGTCTCGGACACCACGCCAGTCGTTCAGCCACGAACGATCGCGGCTCTCCGATGGCGCAGATCGCTCGATGTCGGCCGCCTCCAGGCCACTGGACGCGCTCCACTTTGAACGCCAATAGCTGGGCTCGCCGCAGTGTCGGCCTCGAAGTTCGACAACTCCACGATCCTCGAAAATCTCTCGGTGACTCGAGACGTTGGACGTTGGCTGTCGAGGTCTGGCTGACCTTCCCTGTCGATCGCAACTCTGGAAGAATGACTGGCTCAGGGGGGGAATCGTCGACCTGGAATCGGCGAAACATCGCCGATATGTCGGCGATCTGCCCATCATAACGAAACTACAGGGCTCCTGGGCAGGGGGGGGCTATCGGCGATTGGGGGTCGATGCATTTCCCCCCCTGAGCCGAACCCCCCCGACGTTGGCCCTGGTTTTCGGGTCACAACTCGGCTCTCCGGCGGCCCTTCGGGACGATCTGGGCACCCCCGGGTCGCTCCAGGCGAGGTGCAGCCGATGGAGAACACCCCGAAGCTGGGCCCCCGCCGAGAGCCGACGAAAACGCCAGAACACCTCGAGCCGCGAAAGCCCACAACGTCCGCCCCCCGCCCTCCAGAGCCCATCCCCCCTACCCGACGAACACCCGGGACTGTGTGACCTTCCCTGGCCGAGATCGCCCCGCCTCGATGGCGGTCTGGGTGTCCTCCACGGTATGCTCCAGCTCCTGGCCGCCGCAAGCCCCTCCCCCCCCGCGCGGGGTCAGTCCAAACCCGGGTCAGTCCAAACCCGGGTCGGTCCCCCCGCGCGGGGTCAGTCCAAAAACTTGGGTGCAGGATCCTGCAAGATCCTGCAGGACGGCGACAGCGTCTCACGCACGCCAATTGTGTCGGCGGATTAATCGCGCTCCCCCGTCGATGGGTCGGCAACGCTGCCTCGTGGAAGCGGGCCCCCCGCACGGGGCCCGCCGCTGCCGCGGTCGAGGGGGCCCAGGGCGCAGCTCTGGCGCGCAGGGGCCACCCTCGGCCTGCAGGATCCTGCACCCAAGCCCAGATCAATGCACCCCTGGCTCTGAATAATCCTGTCAGATCTGGCGCGCTGACTGACCCCCGTTTGCATGGACCCCCGTCTCTTTGAACGGGCCAAGGACACACAAATAAATACCCAAATCCCATGGTCTCCCATGTTTCCCCATATCTTCTGGGTTCCCGTCTCCCCCCCCACTTTCCATATTTTTTCACATGTCGTGGGAGTCGAACCCCGATCCGCTTTGCGGCCGAACGCGCCGGCCCCTCGGACCCTTCATTCCGCCACCGCCACCAGATGCCCCTCCTCCAGCTCGTGGCTTCCCTGGCGCAGGCCCAGGCACTCACACCTTCGGGCGTCACCTGGAAGAGTGGTACGGACTCTTCTCGATCTCAGTGACCCCCCCTGGCCCAAACAATAATGAGCCTGGTCAGAGGCTATCGGTTATCAAAAAATGCGGTGGCGCAGGACATGCGCACAATGGTCGCAACATCATGAAACACAGCATGATCCAACCGTCTGCGCAACAGTAATCGTGATACACATGCTGCACCAACACGTGCGTGACAAGTACCTGCTCTCGTGGTGACCGTGGCCAATGAATAATTAAAGAAGAGGGCGATGCACCTGCACACTTGCTCAGACAAGACACTGGCTGCGCACACTTTGAAGCCCTCCAACAGAATCTGCGCAGACGCTTCTCAAGAATGCAAGAGCCTTCCGCCTGCGCCACGACGCGCGTGACGCGCACCATATATAAAAGGCACTGCACCCGTGCCACGAGCGCACACGCATGACAGACGAAGGCCGTAATCAGCATCCCGCCTCACTATGGGGGGACGCGACTTGTTTTAATAGGAGCGACACGATAAAACAACAATTCGCGGGGGGGGGGCGGGTAGGACACGGATGGACCGCGCGCTCGCGGCGACGCTCGAAAGCGCTCGGGGCCGCGCGCCGCATTGTGGAACTTGGAGAGGGGGAGGGCCAAACTCTTTTAAAAACATTACAACTACATGATTATCCCCATACCTCAGGTCGCGCGCGCCGAACTAGGGGGGGGGGCAAGCGGGAGGGAGGCAGGCGCACCGTGGCCCGAGGCGCGCACGCGGTCGAGGGGGGGCGTGCCGAGCGAAGAAGTGCAGGGGGCCATGAGTAGGCCACGCGCAGAATGGGGTGGGGGGAGGGGGGAAGGCTTCTTGGAAGCACCCCCGTTTCTTAGAAGGCGCGGGCCTGATCTGCAAATGTAAGGCCCGCGCCTTCGAAGAAGCAGCCTCCTTCTAAGAAGCCTTCCCCCCTCCCCCATTCCCCCTCTGTGCGCGCCGCCGAATGAAAGCTGGGAGGTGTCCGGGCCCCCGGCAACGGTATCCACCGCCCCAGGACCTCGCCACCCTCTCGGGCGTCCCCGATCGGCGCTCGCCCACATGCCAGAGCGGCCCTCGGCATGGGTGACCTTGGGCGCGTGGCTCGCCGCGGCGGGGCCACCTCCGAACGCGCAGGCCAGTGCCGGGGGGAGGGGGGGCCAGCGGGCCCGCACTCGAGGACACTCCGGCGAAGGGCTAGTGACTCCTGCGCCTAGTCTTAGGTCGGGCATATCCCCCCATAGGGGGAGTTCGGACGAAAAATAAAAACATAGTCAAACAAGACTCCCAAATAGCCAACACATGCTCAAACAATCATCCCCTGACTGTTCTATTCTTTGACTATTCTTGAAGATTCCCCCTGTAGAGGGACAGGCCTGGCTTAAGCCTAGTCGACGGCGCGCCGAACCCCGAACCGTCAACCACTCCCCGGTGACCCGTCTCCCGCCCGCGGACACCTTGCTTGTTGACCCCATGGCCCCCCCGAGGCCGAAGGGGTGGCGCAAAAGCACGTCGGCCCGACTCCCGACTGTCCGAGAGGGCGCCGGAGGGGCCCCGGGCCCGCCACGAGGGCGGCCACCCCGCTCTCTGCACCTCAATCACCTCCCTCCCTCCCCCAGCTGCAGCGCCTCCACCCGACGGGGGCTCTTCCCTGCGCTGCTCCCGTGGAGAGCCCGCCCGGTCCGCCGAGGGCTTCCGGCGTCGGCGCCCCGTGCCCGCCCGTGGGCCCAGCGTGGGCGCCTCGTGCCCCGGGTGGGCCCGCCGAGGGCTCGCCTCGGCGGCGCCCCGTGCCCGCTCGTGGGCGCTGCGTGGGCGCTCGTCGGGGGCCCCGTGCCCTCGGCGGGTTCTCCGGGGTCTCGCCGCGGTGTGGCGGTGCCCGTGGGCGCCCTGTGGGAGCCCCGTGCCCTTGGTGAGTCCGCCGAGGTTGCGCCTGGTGCCCGCCCGTGGGCGCCTCGTGGGCGCTCGTGGGCATAGATGCACCGCTTTTTTTTACAACAAACTTGGCTCACACCACATGGCTCACACCACACGGCTTACACAACACAGCTAGCACCACGTAGCTCACACCACATATCTTACACCACATAGCTGATGCCGCATAGTTTACTCCGCATAGCTTACGCAACATATCTAACATCACATAACACCCGCTTCCACAGCGCAATTACCCACCTTTTGGTGTCCACGCTGGTTCACATTGTTCGGCCTTGTGGTGTGTGCTGTTGCCCATTGCCCCAGGCAATGCTTGCACGTAAAGGTCCTGACTTCTGCTTCATCTCCAGTCCGCTACCGTGCCCCCTGGCACGTTGAGGCGTGGAAGAATGCCAAGGTCTGCCTGGTAGGGTTCTTGTAGATTCTCAGAAGAGACCGCCCCTTCCTCCACTCGCGGACTGTTTGCGTGCATCCCCCTACTCACCGAGGCCACTCCCTTCGTGCCCGCTCGAGGATGGTGCACTTGCAGCATGGCAGCTACTGCCCAAACCCTCATTCCACGCGACCCCGCTCGAGGATGGTGCACTCCAGCATGGCAATCCGCCGACCCCTTGGGGTCACGGCGTGTGAGATGCTTCCCCCTCCCCAAACCCCTCCCCCAGGGGCCTGGTCCGGCCGGTTTGGAAGGGGGAGGGAGGGGGAGGGCAAATCCATCATCCGCACGCTTGGAGCCTCAGGAGGCCCCAAAACGGGCCAAAAAGGTTCCGAAGGTTCCCGGAGCGGTCCAAGAGAGCTACGAATCGACGAAAGATCGCCTCAAAGCGTTGAAGAATGCCTCCACACGGCTCCATAAGTCCCCAAGACGTTTGAAACAATATAACGGGGCGCAAAGAGGCCCTCCAGAAGCAAATATCGCCTCATTCCCTAAGGAAAACGTGCATTTTCACCAAATTCGCCCATTCGGCTTCCACGCGGCGCAAAACGGCCCAAGAAGCCTCCAAGATCGACCCTCGCCAACCCAAAAGGCTCCCAGAAAGGCTCCAAGACGACGTCCGGGCGATCCACGAAGGCTCCAGAAACCATAGCAACGGCTTAGGAGAGCCGCAGGACGTCCCAAGAGGGCTCCAAAACAGGGCAAGAGGGCCCCCAAAGGCTGTCCGGACGGCCCACGCGGGGGACGATTCGGTCCAAACTGCCCATGATCGCCGCCAGACGGCCCCATGGGTGTCCAAGACATTTGAAAACGCGACCACGAGGCGCTTCAAGGCCTCCAGAAGCAAAAACCGTCCCATTCCAAAGGAAAAACATACATTTTCAGCATATTCGCTTCTTGGGCTTCCACGAGGCCCACAACGGCCCAGTAAACCTCCAAGATCGACCTCTGGCACCCCAAGGGACTCTCCAAAAGGTTCCACGACGGCCTCCTGGCGCCCCACGAAGGCACCAAAAACCATAGCAACGGTCCTAAGAGGGCTCCAAAACGTGTGCAGAGGGGCCTCACAGGCTGTCCGGACAGGCCACGCGGGGGACGATTGCTGCCGCCCCAAGGGGTCGGCGGTGTGGCGTAAGCCAATGAATCATCGCCTGAACCCCCATTCCACGCGTGCCCGCTCGAGGATTTTGCATTTCCCGCATGACAGCTAAATGCCTGAACCACCCTCATTTCGTGCGCGCTTACCCTCGAGGATAGTGCACTGCCCGCAGGGCTGCTAACTCTTCCCTCATCCCACGCGCACCCGCTCGAGGATCGTGCCCTTCCCGCATTCCCAGCCGCTGCTCCCAAGCGCTCCAGGGCCTCCCAAGCAACGATCCTTCGCTCAAAACGTTCGATCTGCGTCCCGAACTTCCAAGACGGCCTGCACAGGCAACAAAGGACACCAAGATGGCCCAAGAAGCCTCGAAGACGGCCCCAGATTGCCCCAAGGCGGCCGGATATTGATTCAAGACGGCTCAAGATGTCTCCAAGAGGGCCCCAAATGGCCACAAGAGGATCTCCAACGGGGTCCGAAGAAGCCAGAAGTCTTCATTTTCACTAGTGTTTTCCCATACATCCTGTGGTGTTAGGTTCTCGTTTTGAAGAGACAGCACCCTGCGTCCCTCCTCACTCCTCACTCCTCCTCCTACTCCCACCTCCCTCCTCCGCCTCTGTGCCTCTGTCCTCCGCATGTCTCTGTTTCGGCACACCCCTCACACGTTCTGTGGCCCCATAGGGAACTCCTCCGAAGGCCCCCGTGGCAAGGATCGCATGGCGCCCTCCCCATTTCGGCACACCCCTCCCACGTTGCGCGGCCCCATAGGGAGCTCCACCGAAGGCCCGAGTGGCAGGGTTCGCATGGCGAAAAAGCCACCTTTCGGCACAAGCCTCACACGTTTCATGGCCCCATAGGGAGCTCTACCGAAGGACCCAGTGGCAGGTTTCGCATGGCGGCCCCGCCCCATGACAGCACACCCCTCACGCGTTTCGTGGCCCCGTAGGGAGCTCCACCGAAGATCCCAGTAGCAGCGTTCGCATGGCGGCACCGCCTCATTCCGGCACACCCCTCACACGTTTCGTGGTCCCATTGGGAGCTCCACCGAAGGCCCCAGTGGCAGGGGTCGCACAGCGGCCCAGCCCCATTTCGGCAAACCCCTCACACGTTTCGCGGCCCCATAGGGAGCTCCACCGAAGGCCCCAGTGGCAGGGTTCGCATGGCGGCGAAGCCCCCTTTCGGCACACCCCTCAAACGTTTCGTGGCCCCATAGGGAGCTCCACCGAAGGCCCCAGTGGCAGGGCTCGCATGGCGGCCCCGTCCCATTTCGGCACGCCCCTCACACGCTTCGTGGCCCCATAGGGAGCTCCACCGAATGTCCCAGTGGCGGGGTTCGCATGGCGGCCCCGCTCCATTTCGCCCCCCCCTCCCCCCCCTCCCCGGCACGTTTCGTGGTCTATGGGGGAGCTCCGCCGAAGGCCCTAGTGGCAGGGTTCGCATGGAGGCCCCGCCTCCATTGCGGCACACCCCTCACACGTTTCGTGGTCGTGGCAGGGTTCGCATGGCGGCGAAGCCCCATTTCGGCACACACCCCGCACGTTTCGTGGCCCCATACGGAGCTCGACTGCAGGCCTCAGCGGCAGGACACCCACCATAGGGTGAAGAGGGCCTCAAGAGGGCCCAAGAGAGCCAAAGGCGGCGTACGAGGGCCCAAAGAAAACTCAAGCGGACCCCAAGGAACTACCAAGTCTGCCTTATAAGAGGCCAAGTCAACCCGAAAGCGGCCTAAACGAGTTCCATCATCATCATCGTCATCATCATCATCATCATCATCATCATCATCATCACCACCACCATCATCACCACCACCATCACCATAATCACAACAATCGCAATCATCATCGTCATCATCTTCATGATCATCAGCATCGCCACCACCATCATTATCACCACCACCACCATCATCATCACCACAATCATCATCATCACCACCACCACCTTCATCATCATCATCATCATCATCATCATCATCAGCATCATCATCATCATCATCATCATCGTCAGCATCACCACCAGCATCACCATCACCATCATCATCGTCAGCATCATCATATCACCACCATCATCATCGTCAGCATCACCATATCACCACCATCATCATCGTCACCACCATCATCGTCGACATCATCGTCATCACCATCACCATCACCACCACCACCATCACCATCATCATCGTCATCGTCTTCATCATCATAATCAGCATCACCATCACCGACATCATCATCATAATCATCACCACCAACACCACCATCACCACCGCCACCACCACCAGCATCGCCATCGTCATCATCATCATAACCATCTCCATCATCATCATCACCACCATCACCACCACCACCACAATCATTATCATCATCATCATCAGCATCATCATCAGCATCATCATCATCATCATCATCATCATCATCATCATCATCATCATCATCGTAATCATCATTATCAACATCGTCAAATTCATCGTACCACCACCATCATCATCATCGTCATCATCACCATTCGTCCGCATCACCATATCACCACCACCATCATCATCGTCATCATCACCACCATCACCATCATCATCGTCATCGTCTTCATCATCATAATCAGCATCACCATCACCGTCATCATCACCATCGGCATCACCATCATCACCATCACCATCAGCATCATCAAAATCACAAACACCACCCCCGTCATCATCACTAACCATCACCATCATCAGCACCAGCAGCATCGGTATCGCCATCATCATCATCATCATCATCGTCATCGTCACCTTCATTATCGTCAGCATTTCATCGTCATTAACATCATCGTCGTCATCATTACCACCATCACAGTCATCATCATACTCATCATCATCAGCAGCAACAGCGTCAGAATCAGCAGCAGGATCCACAACAGCGTCAGCATCACCACCACCATTATCATCATCAGCATCATCAGCATCAGCATCATCATTGTTATCACAATCGTATTCACACTGATCAGCATCATCACCATAAGCACCTGCAGTATGATCGTCAACATAACCATAAGTGTCATCAGTTTCAGCGTCATCATCGTCTTCACCATCACCATCGCCACCTTCATCACCAGCATCGCCACCATCACCAGCACCCCCAGCATTAGCATCGACATCGCCATCGTCATCGTCAGCATCATCATCATCATCATCAACAACAACATCATCGCCATCCCAACCACCATCACATCATCATCATCATCATCATCATCATCATCATCATCATGATCGTCAGCATAATCATCACCAGTACCATCACCATCACAATCATCCTCATAATGCGCATCATCAGCATCATCAACGAAATCACCACCACCACTTCACATCATCATCATCATCATCATCATCATCATCATCATCATCATCATCATCATCATCATCATCATTATCAGCATCAGCATCATCACCAACACCACCAACATCACCAATACCATCAGCGTCACCACCATCATCCTCAAAATGCTCATCATCCTCATGGCGGCTTTCCCAAGCCTGGAGGCACGGAATGTCACACGTGACGGCCTCCCGTGCCCACAGTCGTCACCCAGAAAGCTGGGCTCGCACGGTGGCGGGAACTGCTGCAGGCAGCTTGACATGGAGATGATGTGGGGTTTCGGCTAGTGCCAGGTTGGTGGGCATCGAGGTTTCGCCTGGTGCCCGCCCGTGGGCGCCTCGTGGGCGCCCCGCGCTGTGCTTGTGTGTATTTGTGTGTTTGTGTGTGTATGCGCGCGCGCGCGTGTGTGTGTGTGTGTGTGTGTGTGTGTGTGTGTGTGTGTGTGTGTGCGAATGTGTGTGTGTGTTGTGTGTGTATGTGTGTGTGTCGAGGTTTCGCCTGGAGCCCGCCCTTGGGCACCTCCACGCTTTGGGGGCGCACGGGGGTTTCGGCTGGTGCCCGCCCCAGGGCGCGTCGGGGGCGCCCCGTGCCCTGGATGGGCAACTCAGCTTGCACAACATAGCTTGCACCGCACTGTACCGCACAGCCTACACCGCGTAGCTTACACCACTTAGCTCACACGAAGGCCACATCGCACAGCTTACACGGCATAGTCCGCACCGCATAACTCAAACAGTACAGCTGAAACCACAGAGCTTACACCACGTGGCTGACACAACATAGCCAACATCACATAACTTACTCCGCACAGCGTTCACCTGCACGGTGCAACAAATCACTGTTTCGGGTCCACGCTGGCCAACACCTCTTTGTCATGTTCTGCTTTGGAGCAACAGCGGCGGCCAATGTATCAACAACTACGGGGCCCATAGTGTGGAAAGGCGCGGCCAACCACAATCTTCAAGCCAGAGTCTTGCCATCAAGGACACGCAAAGCAGTGCCAAAAGCCCCGTCTGGGTCCCGGATGCGCCTGGGCTCACGAGGAGCGCTCGAGGTAGAACCCAACGAAGCCACCCCAAGCCCATCCCGAAACCGAAACAATCTTGGTTCCGACGGTCTGGTGGTTAACCGCTTGCGGCGAGACGCGACGCAGAGGAATTCGCACCGCAGCAGAATAAGATCATCCTGGCGAAAAGCCCAACCATCTGCAATTGGGGGTACCGCATTCTGAATACAGCTTTACGTGGAACTCCCTGTGGGGCCACGACACGCGTGTCGAAATGGGCGGGGCCGCCATGCGAACCCTGCTACTGGGGCCTGCGGTGGAGCTCCCTATGGGGCCACCAAACGCGCGGGGGGGGCGCCGAAATGGGGCGAGGCCGCCATGCGAACCCTGCCACTGGGGCCTTCGGTGGAGCTCCCTATGGGGCCACGAAACGTGTGAGGGGTGTGCCGAAATGGGGCGGGGCCGCCATGCGAACCCTGCCACTGTAGACTTCGGTGGAGCTCCCTGTGGGGCCAAGAAACGTGTGAGGAGTGTGTTGAAATGGGGCGGGGCCGCCATGCGAACCCTGCCACTGGGGCCTTCGGTGGAGCTTCCTGTGGGGCCACGAAGCGTGAGGAGTGTGCCGACAAGAGGCGGGGCCGCCACCAAACGTGCGGGTGTGTGCCGAAAG